AGTTTGGATCCCCAGCACCCAGGAAAGTCAGTCACTGTAGTGCTCATCTGTAATCCAAGGGCTGACGAGGTAGAGACAGGGAGACCTCAGAGCTTATTGGTCAGCCAGACTGGCTGGATTAGCAAGGTTCAGTGAGAGACCATGTCTCAAAAAATAAGGTGGAACATGGATGAGGAAGGAAGACACCTGACATTGACCTTTGAACTCTGGCCTCTACATGTGTTCACATACATGAAAACATACATACATACAACATCAGACACACACACACACACACTGTATTGTGAGCCTGAAATATGTAATTTATGTTTCTCCTTTCGTCGGTTCCTATGCAGCTTCATTTCCAGTTCCGGGAAAGCTGTTGCCTTTGCAGACGACCCACTTGTGATGCTGTTCTGTTATTGACAGTTTTAGTTATCAAAAGGCATCAGAAGTGGTATCAGCTTCTCCTTTTTTCGGACACTTTAAGAATAGAGTTGCATCATTAGAGACTCCATGTTTCCTTGACTTTCAGTATTTTCTGTCTCATCATCATCACTATCATATTCAGAAGCGTTTTGTGTGCATTCAACATTGTACTTGAGCTGTGCCTAGAGAAGTAAGTAGATAATCCTTCCTATCCTGTTGAAAGATCCTAAAAGGCACGACTCTTTTGACTTTTCAAATATATATGGTTATATTCTTTGTGTATCTAAAAATGTTCCATAAAGTTAAGGTTCACCTTATGTGCAAAAACTGAAATCGACCCTCCCTTAGTCTTCTCTCTAAGAAAGAAGAAAAGGGCTGGCTAGATAAGTGAATACAGCTGCACTATTTTCATTTCATGGCAAGAGTTATCTTGTAAACAGAAATAGCCATTCTTCTGACCACAATCATGTGAGCCACAGGGTTGTTTACGAGTGCTCATATTTATGCAAGGCATTCTGCTATTTCCCCCACAAAGCAGATTAAAATCTTTTTTATATTCTATAAGAGTAAGTTGTAAAAGCATTTACTACATCATAGTGCTTGGCTCTAGGAAATACGATGCTTCCAAGTTAAAATCTGGAATGAAAAAATGTAAGATATTTTGAAGCAGGACAGCAGTGGCCACTACAACTGAGAAAATACTCTGCCCGAAAGGCATAAATGTAGCAGGAAAAGAAATAGGATACTCTAAATCGGCAAAATAAAATAAAACAGGGCCTGAAAGACGCTCAGCGGGTGAAGGTGCCTGCTGCACAGCCTGAACCTGAATTTGATTCCTGGGATCCACATGCTGGGAGAGACTAACTCCTGGAAGATGTCCTCTGACCACCACCACCACCACCACCACACACACACACACACACACACACACACACACACACACACACACACACACACACACACACACACACACAGTAATAAATATTTAAAATAATACCCAGAAAGGACGTCAGCCATATTGTGATATCACTCTCACCCTAAAGGGTTACGCTAGTAGAATCTTTGTATGATTTATTTTCTGGGAAAAACTATCCAAAACTTTGAATTTATTTCATCTGGAAAACTTAAGCTTATATGACTTTCACTGTTTGCACATATTTGTTTAAAGTCCGAATTGTGTTCTGTTTCTGATGTTTTGTGGGGTTTTGTACTTTTCTCATTTTATTTCTTTGATTTTTACCATGCTAATTCCCCGACTTGTAAGTGGTTTTAGAAGTTACAGTGGATCGGGAAAAGGCTGTGGAACCACAGAATGCCAGGAAAAAGGGAAAAGAAGGAGGGTCAGAACCAAGAAATGAGATGGGGAATCAATGATAGGTGGCATGCTGGGCCCCAAGAGAGACACGGCAGTACAAAAGCCATAGCTGTCTGCCAGGCAAGTAGAAAGGCTGTGACTTAGGGTCAAAGCAGGCATGCTACCTCACAAGGCAGCGGGAGTGTGTCAGTCACCCACCAGCATTTCCCGTGGTGTTGCTGCTGTGTGCTGGCAACTGTGATGGTGGTCACGAGGCCTGCCGGTGTGGGGAGGCCCAAATTACTCAGGGTCAGAGAATCTGAGCTTGCTTTACCCGCAGGGCTGCATAATGCAAGTATTTACCAGGTGTTTGGAAGGGTCTACACTTGGCTGTAGGGTGTGCTTTGATCTCGCAAGGGGGAGGTCTTTTGCCTCTCTCCTTGGCATATTATAAAAGGTCCTTTTGAATAAAGCTCTGGGCACAACTGGGTATTGACCCAGGGCCCTCCCGAAGCTATCCTGTGTCTCTGTCTTTCTCCTCGTTGTCTGGGTCTCTCTATCTAATATTTCCTCATTCCTCTCTCCTCCACCCAAGAACCCTTTGAAAGGTGGGAGCAGGTCGGAGCTGGACTCCCACATCAGTGCCCTTGGCAAATGTCTTTAAGGCTCTCGACCTCATCTACTCATTTCTGTCAGATTTGACTCATTGCATAGGGTTGCTAGAGGGTTTGGGAATAATACAATGTATATATACACACTTGAGATATTTTCAGTTTTATTAATTTTTCAATCAGGTAAATTCGGCATGTTGTTATGGTAGCTTCAAATATCCCGCTTTTCCTCCATACATCCCAAATGATTGTTCTTTAAAGTGTAAAGAAAAATTTCTTTATAGTGTTCATTTCCTGGCTCCATTTCTTATTTAATGAGGAAATACCCCCAGTATAGTCTGCTCCAAAATGATCAAGACTTTTCTCTACATCTCACCCAGAATCTAAAGCTGCCTTCTTGTGTGTATTCTGTTTAGTTACCATCACTGTTACACACAGAACGGTCCCTGCCAGAAACAGTGTTCTCCACAGCCCCTACCTGCACGCATTCTACCAGCCATACTCACCGTCTTCACGCTCACGTTCTTCTCTGCACCTCCATGACTGCATCCCTCAAGACCTCCCATGCCGACCCAGCCGCAGACCACGCTGAGATATGGGGCTGCCATACACAGATTGAAACTTTGGGAACCATTCTAGGTCATAGTTTATATTTGTGTTCAGTTATTTTTGGAGGGGATGTGGGGATGGAGAGCTGTTGGCCCTCATGACTGCAAGGTCTGGGGCTGTTCTGTGTCACCTTCCATGGCTCCACACAGTAAACACCTGGCAATGAACTCTCTGACCGGTCCCTCCCTACACCATAGAAGGCAGTTTATGTTTCAGGAATGCCTGTTAGAGATCTGTCCATATATGTATTAGCTCTTAGCTCATTCCAATTTCATGTAATTCTTTCACTGAGCAGAGTTTAAAAGAATATTATTTTCTTCATCTTATGAAACTTCCAGTGGATGTTTCCACACCTGCCTATATGAATTCCCTTTTAGCTTTTACCATAACAAAATACTTAAGATATTATTATGGCAATATCCAGCATATGTATGAAACAAAAGCCATTTAAGAATGAGGAGCCTGAACAGAAGCCACAAACAAGAGTGAGACACCAAGGGGCTGCTCTTCGATGAAAGGGACATGAGAAAAAGCCACCCACTCGCTCACTGAACCAAAGTAGCCGGAGCCCGTCACACTGGTGGGGATTGGAGAAAGGCAGCTCCCCCTGAAGTCACTTGGGTTGATTTGTGGTCTAGAGTCATACTACGGGTGGTTTAAAAACTATCCCAAGTAGCACATTTATGTAAAGTCATTTCATGGGGTCCGTGCTACTCGATTAGCAGGGAAGAGATGAGAATCAACTCTGGAAATGTGCAACTTCAGTCTAGGCTCAGTGGCCATAAGGTGAATCCTTCAGGGATGCCGGAATGTGAACATACATGTGTGTTACAGGAGATGAAGGGCGGTGGTGATGAATTCCAGCTGGAATTCCAGCTAAGTGGCTAGGGACTGAATTCCCCAGTCTTTTCTGCAGTGAGGATGTGTCTGGTGACTTAGGAGGAAGGTAGTCTGAATATGGCTGAGTTTTAGCTTCTCTCTTTCTCCTACCTGGGAAATGACACTATTGCAGAGATTTTCCTGGACCCAATGTGGAAGGTCTGGGTTGAAGATATTGAGCTCACTCTTCAGCCTGGAGCTGAGATAGTCTCGGGCTTGGAGACATGTCTTTGCCCTGAGATACAGTGCTTAATAAGGTCTGTTGGATAATCGTTTGGACAGCAAAGGAAGAAAAAAAATTCTTTTTTCCTGGCCCTGAGGTCTCTGTTGAAAATGTAGAAATGCTCTTCTAAAGGGAAGCAAAAATACACACAGCAGGGAAATGACGGGCATGGCTGGATTTCTAGAAACCTTTCTGTACCTAACAATGAACAGTTTAGATTTGACCCCTACCTCACCCCATCCACAAACTGAGAGATCTGTGTGACAGATAGGAACCTCCATAGTTTTAAAGCCTTGAGTTCGGGTTTCCGTGTCTTAGCATTTTTGCCCACATTCTAATAACCATAGTCTTCATTATGGATTAACTGCATAGCAAGTTTTCAACTGGTCCGGTTCTTAAGCATCTGCATTTCGACCCAAACCAGCTGCCGGCTTCATTTGGCATTCCTCCTTCCAGTTTCAAATCTCATGTGTGGTTCTCTAACCGGCCAATGAGGTGACTCTCCCAAAAGAAGGCTCTCTTTTTTCTTCTTTAAAATGTGCTGCGGTTGCCCGTTGCAAAAGGTGAGATCTGATCTCCCGGGGAGACACCGGAGACCCCCTCTCCAGTTGTCCCAACCCGCTTCCTCAGCTTGTGCTGTGTACTCTGTGGCAGGAATGACTTTTCTAATATGGCCCCTCTGCTGCACATTGATGGTTACCCCAGGGTATTTCCAGGTCTTCTCTCAGAAGCCCGGTTCACCCCATCTAAGAAGTGAGCCAGCTAAGGGCAAGGGACGTCTTCCTGGTTTTCTTTCCTCTAGGACCCAGCCTGGAACAACTGTTCTCTCTCTCTATGAATGATTCTTTCTCTTTCTGTCATTAATACTTAAAATTTATCTGTCTATCTCAGGAACACATACATTTATGAAATCAGAGTAGATTGGACCACTTCATTTAAGAATGATAAAATAGGACCACAGACTATATGGCACATGGCTTATTTATCATTTGTTTATTCATCTTCATATTCCACTATGGTGAGAGGTTTTCCTCCCACGTCTCACATCTACTGTGAAAGCTCCTTTGTTTGTGTGACCTTGCTTCTTCCTTGACAGGGAGGACACTTTTCTTTGAACTATTGTTGTGCAGGCCAGTTCCTGCTTGGGGAATATCTCACGCATTCCTTTTCTTATGCAGTTTGCCCAGTCGCCTTGACTAGGAAGACCCAGTGGCCTTGCTGTTTACTTGGCAGAACAGGGCGTTAAGTGAAATTTGTGTCTGAAGTACTAAAGTTTTAAGAGCCACTATACTCTGCTGTGAGATTTGTGACTAGTTAGATGACTTCTGAATGTCACACCACATGGAAGGCATAAGATGTAGGCAGTCCACAGTGGCAAGGTTTTTATAGAAAGAACTGCAGTGTACTGCATATCTCCCACACCCACCAGGGAAGGGGAAGATTAAGGCTGCCTGGTCTTCAGGCATTGCAAGAGGGTTCTCAGGAGGATCCTAATATGTACCTCTCAGATATAGCTGAGCATGCACTGAAGGCTGGCACTTTCCAGAGACTGGCTGGGCAGTGGTGTCCTGGAGAGCTGCATGGCATGGATCAGGTTTCTCAGAATTGGTCATGAGTCTTCTGGATGACATCTGGCTGTAAGATGAGTCACTTCAGGTCTTGAGCAAGGAGGTATCTGGAGGGGCTAGATAGCTCAACAGAAAAAAAAAATGAAGGTGTGACTAGGAGCCTTGAAAAACACATGCAAGGCACAGCTTTAATCTCAGAGGCAGGCACCCTCTCTGAGTTCAAAGCCAGTCTGCTCTACATAGTGAGTTCCAGGCCAGCCAGGGCTACACAGTAAGACCTTGTTAAAATGAACAGCAATGGATATGGATATGTGTCCAGAGGACTGCTGGGAAAAGATCTGCACCAATGAGGAGGATGGCAAACATATCCATTGAAGAGGAAGCAAGAGAAACCGTTGGCTTTGTGCCATGGCCAGCCCAAGAGAATGAAGCCAATCTGTAGTTTCTTCTTCAAGCAAAGTTTCTTGCCCACCTTCCTGCCTTCCCCTCCCTCTCTTCTATGCTGGAGAAAGCGCTCAACACCAAGAGGGGATGGGACACTGGCAGAGGCTAGGAGAAGGGTCAGCTGATGAAAGGAGAGATGCTGATATTGGCCTTTCTTCAGGCTGGAGTCCTGCCTGGGCTGGGTCTCCTGAGAGAGGAGAGATGGGTGGTGTGACCATATAGCCTGTGCCCATCTAGACTCATGAGGGAGCTGCCGTTTTAGGTTTCTGCGTTGAAGGTACTGCATTCACTATGAGTGGCCACAAAAACTATAGGGTCAGCTTGTGTTTTTACCAAGACGCAAGCAGAGGACAAAAACGTCACACTATTTTGTGATTATGTTTCCCAATATTGTGGTCATTGCAGTGCTTGGGTGTTGAGCCCTGGATCCCATGCATGCTAGCTAAATGTTCTGCCACCACGTGGCATCCCCTTCTCGCTCCGGTTCTTACTCAATGTCTGTCGAAAGCTTCTGTTATATTTTTAACTTGTATACACAGCAACATGGTTATTGTTCCCAGTAATTATTTTGACTGCAATTAAAGGGAAGAAAGTTAGGCAAAATGATTTGTTTGTAAATTGTCAACAAGGGTGTTGGTTAAAAGTGGGAAACAGACAGACAACAGCCCTCAAGGAAATGAAGAGTGAAGCCTGCTTTCAGGCTAAGTGCGTTCCCATATGTACCTTTCTCACTGCAGAATTAGGAATGTGTTGTTTTCCATTCCTCCTACAGCTTTCTACAGCGGAGGGAAACAGATCCCGGCGAGCCATCCATTTCCTCAGATGAATCCTGTGGAAACACGCAAGGTTCTCTGGTGAAGAACAAACTGGTGGAAGGGTTCATGTAGGTTTGGTGTTCCCCTGAGAGAAGTCTCTTGATTTCAATGTTTCAAGCCAAACATGTCACCGACGACGACCAGACCTCTCTTTAGTTATCAGCTTTAGCTGAGCTCCTAGGAGGAGCCAAGTGGAAGAAAACTGACAACCTGGGGTATTTCAGCAAAGGCTTGCTGGCTCCACGGGTGACAGTGATGTCAGTCAAGTGGCATCACCTTCATTTTACCACAAGTAATTTGCAAAATGGCTTCCTTCGCAACGAATCTGTGTGGAATGCATGCTCCCGTTGCTATGGAATTAGAGATCAGTACCGAGCAGTAGGGACTGAGGTCTTGATTGTAGATGAGAGCCTTAATAGGCATGAGTCAGAAGGGAAGAGCTTGTGAAAGGGCTATAATTTGTACCTCTCGTGGGGCCACCATCAGCCCTGTCCTGGGAGAATTTAACAGGAAGCTGCCCCTCTCTCTCTGCGATGGTTGTTCCTGGGCCAGCCAACTTCTTTTTTTTCTCTCTCTCTTCTCGAGACAGAGTTTCTCTGTGTAGCCTTGGTTGTCCTGGAACTGGACCTGTAGACCAGGCTGGCCTCGAACTCAGAGATCCATCTGCCTCTACCTGCTGAATGCTGGGATTAAAGGCGTGTGCCGCCGCCGCCGCCGCCGCCGCCGCCGCCGCCGCCGCCACCACCACTACACTCCCCCCTGGATTTCTTTTTACATCAATAATGGAAGGCACAGAGAGAGTTTTCATGTCTATGTTCTAAAGCATGGCAGTAGAAAGAAGGCCGGCTCCCGTGTTTACTTTCTGCTGCCGCCGAGACAGAAGAACACTGTGCAGCCTTCTGAATCCCTCTGTGTGCCCTGGCTGAACACACCCCTTCTGTTGCCAGGCCTGGGACCACGCTCCAGACAGTCTCGATTGTCAATTCCTTGTTTCGTCTTTACCTCTTACCTCACATCCATGTGTTGTGAGTTTTGCCTGCTTTTCAACTTTATACGATAACTGTTGTCTGTGTTGTGTTGTATCCTGTTCTTTCACACATAGGACATTTTTAAGATTCATCATGTGGATAGGTACAGGTGGCCTTCCTCTTCACCCCTGTGTGAATGTATGAACATGTGCATGTTCAGTATACTCTTCATATCAAGTTGCCTCACTTTTCAAACACGAATAGCGCTGCTGGGATCATTCTTGAGTACGACCTCGGCAGTGTGTCAGCAAGTGTTTCTCTTTACACTTCATCTTTGGGCTAAGACTACACAGCAGGAGACTTGTAAATGGCTGATTCATGAGGGATACTAAGGTATTTTCCAAAGTAATTGTTTCAGTTTATAATCACCCTAGCAGTATGTAACAGTCCCTGTGACTTATTATGCATATATATAAATCTTTCATAATATGTGTATGAAATAATTTTCTGACTTTATTAGTGTCTCTGTTAAAAATTATAATCATTCTCTACCCCTCTTCAATTCCTATACTTACCTTTTGTATACTTCATAGAACTTCTTTATCCTTATTTTATCATGGACTTTGCTATTTTGTATTATTCTGTGTATTGAAAATGTTGTCTTTCAGTTTGCAGCCTGCGATCTTACAGTCTTTGATAAATGAAGTATAAGGAAGATTTTAGAAAAATATAATACTCCTTCATGGCTTGCATCAAGAGATCTCACCCCCTATGGAGTCATAAACAGATGCTCCTAGATTCTCTTCCAAATTATCTATAGTACTTCACTCCTCAATCCGTGTGTGTGTGTGTGTGTGTGTGTGTGTAGAGAGGGAGAGAGAGAGAGAGAGAGAGAGAGAGAGAGACTTAGTTGTGCGTGTGTAATACACCCCAAACTTGACCACTTAGGCACTTCCTCTTGAGTGGGCCACACCAGTGCCAATATTCAGCACTAGAAGCATAGCGCCCAGCAGGGCTCAGTGGGTGTCCCCTTAATGGATTTGTAGGAGTACACCAGCATGCCAACCGAGCACTTCCAGGGGCACAGGGGCTCACTGGTGTCCTGTAATTTACCATGTAGACCAGGAGAGCCTTGAACATACAGTGATCATCTTACTTGTCTCCTATGTAATGGAACTTCCAGGCATATGTCAGCGGGCTCAGCTTTCCAGAGGCAGTACTCAACACCGGCTCAGACGTTATTAAATGTATAATATAGCTTCCAGGACGAGGCAAGGGAAATGTCTCATTGCAGGTTGTGTGGTGTGAAGGAAGCTTCTGGAGCAGGCACCTGTGGCTTAGTAATTCTCTTCCCAGGCCAGACACAGTTCAATTAGGCATTCTTATTAAAGGATATTGTTACTCCTCCACAGTACTCGCAGAAGGAACCCCAAAGCCTCCACATAGTGGATGGAAAGTGTTCTGTTCAGCCTCTCTGTTCTCACATTGTGTGTGTGTGTGTGTGTGTGGGTGTGGGTGTGTGTGGGTGTGATGTGGTGTGGTGTGTTTTGCAAGCAGTAGGATTCATTTTATTAATTATATATTAAGTACTGCATCTGTTTTCTTCCTGATCTTCATTACCACATCAGGCATTTACAGGTTTCAACATACATGCACATTTGGCGTTTGATCTCACTCTGACCCCCTACCACTCGTACTATTCACTACCACACAGTCCTACGTATGTTATCATAAGCCTTGATGTTTAGAAGGAAGTCTGGCTGTTTGGGCGGATAGGTCCTGTCTGTCTTTGAGAGCTCCTTTGATCTGCCAACTTGTCTAGACTGCAGACACAGCGGTGCAAACCTTAATCTAGGTGCTACTGTGAAAGAACTTTGCATGTGTAAGAAGAGTCCCTGGTGGGCTGCCTGTAAGTAAGAGGATTACCACGGATGATGTGGGTGAGCCTGGTCGGAGCTGTTAGAAGGCGTCAAAGGAAGGACAGATTTTCCCAGGAGAGAAGACATTATAGATGGCAGCTTTGGTCTGTCCCTACAAAGTCCCACTGAGCTCCGGACTTTCAGTCTTTACAGCCGTGGGAGCCAGGGGTGCTGATGGGTTGCTTTGGCTCTGTGTCCTGCCGCCTTCCTGTCCATCATATATAAATGTGTACATGCTTTGCTTCTGCTTTGCTTTGACTTTGACTAACAGTCTATTTTCCCTGTAATTCATGTGAATTACAGTCAGCTTGCTTTGTGTACAAAAGTGCATGTTGGGGTTTTGATTGATATTGCATTGAATCTATATGCTAATTTGAGTGAAACTGCTATCTTCATCAAATTGAATCTTCCAACCTACGTTTTCCACAGAACTAGGTCTTCTTAATAGTTGATGAAGTTACCATTTTATCCAAAAAGTTAGTAGCCAATTAAAAACCCCACTTATATTAATTGAAACGTAGATATAAAAACTGTATAGCTTAAGGGGCTGTCATAAACATCCATGTAATTACTACCCCGGTGAAGGAGCAGACACCATCTAAGACTTTCTAAGAGCCCTCTCTGTTCACAGCCCCTTCTCTGTCTGACCTTAACCCTCATAGTAATATGAATAGTGTTATATGAATATTCATATGTAATATGAATAGTGCACACTAACTAGATCCTTTCCAGCCTCGAAGATAATCTTTCTGAATCCCCTTTCCCAAGATATCCATGGTTTGTGGTTTTTTCTTGTATCTTTAATCTAATATATCAGATTAAAATTTTTTTGTTCTAAATAGTGCGGTTAGTACACCTTAACTTGGCCATTACCAAAAGCATTAACAGTTCTAGTTGTAATTTCTTTTCAATTGCTTTTCTTCATAACTACCTTGTAAGATCAAATCATTTTTATACATTTATCTTAATCTTGTCCACTTGCTAAATTCACTAACTTAAGCTTTTTATGTATAATTCTTTTTGTTTCCACATAGATCCTTGTATCATTGATAAACAATAAAGATTTCATTCTTCCCAGTCTACATGCTGTATTTTTCTTTTTCTTTTTTTTGCCTTGCCTTGACAAGTATCTGAATATAATTAATAGAAAAGCTTGAAGTGGGTGTGTGTATTTGTGTGTGTATGTGTGTGTCTTTGTCTGACTCCAGACTTTAAAATGAATTCCTTAATGTTTCACTAATAAGCTAGGCATTTTCATGGATTTTCTTTTTCTTTCTTTCTTTCTTTCTTTCTTTCTTTCTTTCTTTCTTTCTTTCTTTCTTTCTTTCTTTCTTTCTTTCTTTCTTTCTTTCT